TGGCGCTGCCGCATGGTCCGTAGTTGTAGTTGCTGCAACGAGAATTGAAAATTTTTGTTATCAAGTGTATCTAGCTATAACATCATAAGTAGTCATAATTTCTTGCTGGTTAAATTAATTGTTGACGAGATCTTAGTGGTTGCTAGCTTAAGAAACTTGAGTCGATCAGTTTGCAAAGCCTAGGGATATGATCTATATTAGAGTACTAAGACCATGGTAACCCTAAGTCCTCAACTCAATTTTAGAGTTTTAATTTGAAATTAATAAAATTTACCAATATTGCTAGCGCCACAAAAATTTGGCATGCAAGTTTAGGGTGAACTGTGAGCTTACTATGAGATCTGGATGGGTCCACGACCGTAGTATTTCTTCCCCGCCGCACACGGCCACTGGTCGTTGGCGACGCAGTAATCCCCGGGGCTGCCTTGTTCTTGGAGGTAGCAGTACCCCCATGAGTACGGTCCATCTGGTGCGGTTGGCCACCCACCTACATGTATAGTAGTAGGGATCAAGTCACATCACTAGTAAAAATTCACGTATCCTAGACGGAATATTCTAGACGGAAATTTTTCCGTCTAGAATGTATTAAACTAGACGGAAAATTTCCGTCTAGAATATTCCGTCTAGGATAAAGTATTCTAGACGGAAATTTCCGTCTAGAATAGTATTCTAGACGGTTTTTTTATTTTTACTTTTTTTTAAAAAAAATCCTGATATTCTAGACGGAAATTTCCGTCTAGAATGTATCCTAGACGGAAATTTCCGTCTAGAATACGTGCCCATGTAAAAAAAAAATTAACCCGTCAAAACCCCCGCCGCCCTCCATTTCCCCCAAAATCGAAATTTTCATCCCCAAAATCAAAACCCCCGCTGCCCTCCATTTCCCCCAAAATCGAAATTTTCATCCCCAAAATCAAAACCCCCGCTGCCCTCCATTCCCCCCAAAAAATCCTCAACTCCAACACCTCCCCCCCCCCCCCCCCCCCCCCCCCCCCCCCCCCCACCCACCCCCGACACCGCCCTCCCCCTCTACTCCCTCTCCCTTCACGGCCTCCACCATCTTTCCCGCCTCCTCACCGAACCCCCTCCCGAACTCCTACATCCTCTCCTCCGCACTCAAGAGTCCTCCCCTCTCCCCATCGCCCGCACCCTCCACTCCCTCGCCCTCAAGCTTTGCCCCTCCGAGTAGAGATTAGCATCAAGGCCATCGGCCCATCCCCTCCCTCCTCGATTCGAATTCCCTCTCTCATCAAGGTAACCGATCAAAACCCTAACCCTAATTCAATTTCCCCAATTCCAAGTTTTACAAAATGTTACTTCAAAGCTACAAACTTTTTGAAGGACCGATTGAAGCTCTTTAGATCGCCAGCTTCATAAGAACCGATTGAAGCTCATCTGGAAAGGGAAAATTTTGAAGGACGAGAACGAGGATGGCGAGGATGTCTATGTCAGATTCAACAATGGCGGTAATTTCTTGATTTTTCGTTTGCTTTGCTCGTGGAAAATTTTAAATTTCATTTGATTAAAGCTTATATTTTTTAAAGTGTAGATTTGACCATTGGATTGGAACTGGGTATATAATGATACACTTGCATTGTTCTTTTCAGACTTCTAAATTTTTGGATTCATGTGAAGTTGATTTATGTTTTCCAAGATATTGAGTTTTCTAAGCAAGAAAATAATCCTATAGGTGCCAAATATAAATCAAATGGATTAAAAGAAGAGATTAACTTCATTGCAATATTTGTTTGCTTCTGGAGTTTCATATATCACCTTAATTTCCATATTTTTATACTACATCAGTTTTCGTTCCTTGCAAATTGACAGCCATGTAGGACTCATTTTTTTTATAATTTAATAAATTCTTAAAATTCTGTATAATCCAACTTTGTTGTTTGAATATTTTCCTACCCTATACATCTGAGTGAATTCTGTAGTAGTGTTTTTGTTTCTGTCATATGCTTTATCCATTCTATCTAGGTTTCTTGAAGTGTCTGGCACCTGAACAGAGCCCCGGACTGAGGCCTGAAGTATGTTAAATATGATAAGCTATTTCGCAGTTTCTTTCTTGTTGAATACAACAATAACTGGAATTAGACTTATTTTGTAATCATTTTTTGTCATTGGCTTAAGAAATTAGCCTCAACTTTTAATCCACTTATTTAAAAACATATGGTCGTGCATGTGTGAAAAGGAGTATCTTTCGATCATCTCAAATGTGCCACCAGCCAGATGTTGCCTACAATAAGATTCTTTAGTTTTTTCACGGAATAATTCAAGCATGGAAAGTTAGAATTGTTAATTACCGCATCTTTATATAGATTTTCGTATTGTTGCTGGGCTAGCATGGTAATCGTTCATATGAACTCATGCATGTGATGTTTGCAAATTCTATTAATTTGCACTCTAAATTTTTTATTGACTTTATCCTCAATTATTTATCTGTAACAATCTTACATTTTGGGAGTATATTTTGTGGTATCTAATATAATGTGTCTGTTGTGTCTTCCATAGGAGAGAATACGCATTGGTAAAGAGCTTTTAGAAGCCAAACGAATGGAGGAAGAAAATGAAAGAAAACGGTTATACTCTGACTGCTTTTAAGTATTATGTTTATATTTTATGTTTTCCATACATTTGGTGTGTGTTGCACAGCTGTCTTTGGAATAATGAGTTATAAGTTTGTCTCTTTAATGTCTAGAATAATGGCACTGAGAAAGGCAGAGAAAGAGGAAGAGAAGAGGGCGAGAGAAAGAGAAGAGCTTTTACATATTCTTTATTGTTTGCCTCTTCAATTTGTATGTCTTTCATGTTTAATGTTAAATGTGTTACATATATAATAGGTTAGATAGAATGCGTATATAATAGGTTAGACATATATAATAGGAATGTGCTGCGACTGTCAACGTGCCATAGTAGAATACTTCTTGGTTTCGCATCTTTATTAACAAAGTATTGTTGGGGGCATAAAAGACTTTACACAATGATGAATACCCTTTATTTGCTTTGCTCTTTATTCAAATGAATACATAAGCTGGACTCCTGAATAAATGCCACAAGTGAAGAGTCCATTCCACCATTTGTATATTTTTACTGTCTAAATAGGTCTCGAAATCACATCCTTTTGGCATTACGGTGGTATTCCCTAAACGGGCGGGCAATTTCCTACATATCATGTGTCATTGTACTACTTGTGCATGTACTCAGTTAACTATGTCTTAACATGATTCTCTGCCATGTTCTAGAATGTCAATGAGGAAAGTACTAAAGTTAATGACCTTTCACTTGTCAAGGAAAGGTTTTTGCTAAATGAGACTTGATTATTGAGTTATAGGATAATAAAAAAACATGCAAGCTCTCCTCCAGAGACATTTTAAGTCATTAGTATAATGTTAATGATGTTGGCCATCCATCGTATATATAATGGACAGTTATAAAGCTTTCCACTCTCTTATCTCTTTTAACTTAGTCACTTCCTCCATTTCGTCACTTCCTCCATTTCGGTCCATATTAAAATAGAATCAGGCCTTTTTATACTGTTGTTTATTGTGCTATATCTTACTGCTATGAACAATCACACAAAAGAAAAAACACACCAAAACAAATGCATTATGCAAATGCAATTACTCTTTAATTTGTGATGCCACCGATGAATTGGTAGAGAAGCAATATTTTGTATTTGGAAAAAACAAAGTATATTGATCTCTTTTGCCATGCATGTCTGTCGAGTTTGCTAACGTGAATGATCTCTTTTGCAGGATCCACTGGTGACTAAAGGTGCAAACACTGCATATATGGATATTGAACTGGTGGGTGAATGCTTTGGGGTCCTCTCATCATTTGGCCAATTCTGAATGTGTTACGTAGGAAATTAATGATTGGAAGAATCATTGTTCGACTACTTAGTTTGAAGATTTTTATGAGCTTTGGGGTTTGTTGGATATGAATTCAATCTAGTATTGTTCAATGTTGTGTACATGCACCAAAAGTAGGTTCGGCAAAAAAAAAAAACTACTGTAGCACAGCATCCTAGACGGAAATTCCGTCTAGGATGCTCAAATTCCGTCTAGGATGCTTTTTTTAAAAGAAAAAATTAAAAAAAAAATTAAAAACATCAATTTCCGTCTAGGATGAGTATTCTAGACGGAATTTTCGTCTAGAATACTCATCCGAGACGGAAATTTTTTCTGTCTAGAATGCAGTATTCTAGACAGAAATTCCGTCTAGAATATTCCGTCTAGGATATATTCTAGACGGTTTTGAATTCCGTCTAGAATATTCCGTCTAGGATGTATTCTAGACGGAATTTGCGTCTAGAATACTACATTCTAGACGGAAACTTTCTAGACGGGTATTCTAGACGGAATTCCGTCTAGAATACACATCCTAGACGGAATTTTGAGTATTCTAGACGGAATTTTTCGTCTAGAATACCTTATTTTTTACTTGTGCATGCATTAATTTTCTTAGACCCAAATTAATTAAAGAGCGTCTAATTGCAGGTTGTTGACATATTAGTATAAGTTAAGAGTCTTATTTGTAAAAGTGTTTGTAGGGCCTATATAAGCCCATGCTATCTCATCTATGAATTTAGGGTTTTCATTCAATTTGGTATCAGAGCTAACCCTAGCCGCCG